CACGGCACGACGTTGTGACTATAAGTAAGTCTCGCGCGGCGCGCCGCGGCTTAATGCCGTTGCCGCGTTCGTGGCGCCAAGAGGAGGGCCCATTGGCGACGATAAGCCTCCTTCGTGTCCGGCACGAACGAGAAAAAGAAAGAGAGAAAAAACGGAGATAGATACACAGCAGTCAGCTTTCACCCGCGTTTCAGCAGTGAATATATATACCCCGTCGGGGTGTGGATCGGAACAGTGTAGATAATACGTAGCTGTCAGTCGTATCCGGCCAGTGTCAGTCTAGAGTTAGTGTCGGCGAACAGAGTGACCGAGTGTCGTTCGCGAGCCACTCAATAACACCTATCGGAAAGATAAACTTTCAACCCTTAAACGTTATCATTCGGAACTCGATGAGATCTGTTTCGTACGTTCTTTCTCACTTGCTATTCTACATAACTTATCCATGTTTTTTTTTTAATTCCATTTAAGTTCGAATCACCACCGAATCGAGGTTTATGGTCGAAACAACTTTTTAATCCTCTTACAAACGTACTCTTTGCTTCTACTTCAAGTGGATAATCCTTTTATTACCAAGTGATTGTAAAATTACTTGTGTCCTGTGATTCGCGTATTCTATTATTCGATAGTAATAGAAATCGGTGCAAGTGTCAGACATAGAGAGTAGTGACAAAGACAGAGAGGGAACGGTGAACCGAGAAGCAGTGGAAGGTGATTGATATCCAGGGGATACGCATGGTCCGTCCGGACCGGGGAAGATCACCTCTGTCGACGAGCACGGACCTTTCTACTGGCCCGTTTGGATGGTGATCAGCACGGAAGCGTTTTAACGTTCAAACAACCATGTCGGGGCTGCTTTACACGCTTTTAGGGTTGGCGGCTAGCTCGAGCCTTCATTGCGCTGTTCGCCGCGAGATAAGCCCGTGCACCTGCCGACAGGAAGCGTTCTCCAGCACCGTTATCAACCCGGCGCAGGCTGCTGTAGCTGCTGTAGCCGCCGCGGCTG